TGCATAATAATAATAAAGGTTACAACAATCTTAAATGATTGTACATCAATTACATTGTTTCATGAAAAATCATCTACCGTCTCGTCTTCACTTACATATGTTAAATCTATGAAGGTTTCTTGCAAGGCTATTTCTTGACCAACTAACTTTTAAACATTGCAATTCTTGATTCCATATCCGAAGTCTTCCAACCATCCGCTTTTTCATCATGGTACCGTCGTCAATAATCCGCCATAGGAGGTATAGGACAATCCATTTTAACTCCCACCCAATATTATCGGTATCCTTTCCTCATTTTGTCCCTTTAGTCTAAATGTGCAAGTACATTTTTTAGAACTCGTCATCCTTTTTCCCTGTCCTTGGTCATCCTCACCGGCTTTCTTCTTCTCACGATACTCACCTGCACGCTCACATGCGAGTACAACATACGGTCTTCTACGCCCTTTCAATCCCATTTGAAACGAAAATGTTTATCACCATTATGTGGCGTCAACCAACTCCTTTAACCCAATCGAGTAGAGCTTCCCGTGTCTCAAATTTTTGTTCGATAGTAATTCATCTGAATAATCCTCCATCAATCTCCTAGGTTGTTGATAATAAAATCGGTACTTAAAAACCGATTTTTGTAGTACAAGTCGGCATGACAATACCGATAATACAAAAACAAATCGATGTGGTCATGCCGATTTGTACTACAAAAATCGATTTTTAAGTACCGATTTATATTAAATTAATCGGAATGTGGTTGCCGACTTTAGTAACAAAAATCAGTACTTGCAGACCGAATTTTTTTATCGTCGACTTTTTTTTCCAACAAAAAAAAATGACCCAAAAGCAAAAATAAACTGTTAAAACATACCTCATTGTGTTCTTCACCCTCGTAAACCACCATATCATTGTTTTTTGGCTCCATCGTGAATGTTTGGTGTGCATTTGATAATTTTGGTGTGTAGTGTTTCTTGGTGGGTCTGTGAAGAAGGAGAAGAATGAGGAGATTTCTAAGTCATGAAATAATGAAAAGGGGTTCTGGGTTTATGTATTTTATTTGGTCTTACACAAAAGTACTTTTTTTTTTTTTAATGTTTTGTATTTTTTATTTGATTTTGAATTTCATTAAGGGTAAATTAGTATTTTTATGTTTGAGGTTTTGAACTAATAGAAAAATAGGCTTGCATATATCCGCCGCCTAATATAAATTCTCTAAAATCACATACATAATTCACAACATAACCCTAAAACAAGTTCTGTCAATGGTTTTTTTTTATTTACCAACAAAACTGTGCTCATAATATTGTACATCTGTTTCACCGGTATATTCCGAAAACCATAATATTACATCTGAAATAACGAATGTGGTTTTCGTTACACAAAATATATGAATGAACAAATATAAAGCTAACTAGGTCAGAGATTAGTTGAGAGATCAAACGACGCTATAGTAAAACTCCGCCCAAAAATGACTCTCGAAACGTAAAGTAAATAATCACATGTTCTATATCTGTAGTAAATCTATCTTGGCTGTTTGTTAATCTCCTCACTAAGACGCTGATTCAATAATCTTTGATCTTGCGTCGAATTAACGTTAGATAAGAGAGCCGACACTGTATGAAGTTCCTCTGCATTTGCTTTCTTGAATAGGTCATCGAGTATAAACGAACACGTCAGATGCGAATTAGAGCTGCTACTGCTTTCTACAGATTCCGGTTTTCGAGGATTTTGCCGTGATTTCCAGTATTCTGTACAGACACGATTCTTGTCCATAGCCTCAATTACCTGTGCAAAGAAATACATACAGTTAAACCTCTATAAATTAATACAGTCGGGACTAACAAAATTCTATTAATTTAGCGAAATATTAAATTATCGAGCTAATAATTTAGTACGTTTTTACCGAGTCGGGACTGTAAGAAATTATTATTTAAGTGAGGTTATTAATTTATCGACGTTCTACTGTATTATTATACACACAAGAGAGAGAGGATTGCGGCTAGCCACGGAAAAAAGTTATATTTGATTAGTCTCGCAAGTATTTGAAATGTGCTATACGAACACGAGAAAATCGATCCGATTCTAGTTTAAAAAGGCATCAATTTTTATCTTTCTTGAACTTTTTCTTGCTACCTATTAATCATAACTAATTAGGTAAAAATTAGACTGATGTCACAACTAACGGAGCCAGAATACGTTCCGGGGGGCCGAATGCACAATAAAATTCTGAGGGGGAGATGGCCCCCTTGGCCCTATGCTGGCTCCACCACTACTAAAACATTTAATAAGTTATTATTCTACCCATCTTCATATCATCGTGTAAACATCGAAAAGTTTGGAATAATGGTAATGTTTATTTTTTTTTTATTAAATACTTGTTTATAATACAAACTACTAATGCTAATTTTAATAACCATTTGAATTATTTAATAAATAATATATAAGTAATTTATACTTGTATGAGATAATTTGCAAAACTCGGAACAATACTTACCTGCAAAATTGGTGGTGAAGATAATCCAAACATTTCGATAGCGTCCAAACTCCCGGGATGCTGTAAAGGAGGAAGCTTCGTATTTCCCAACTTACGTTGCTTTGCAATTGACTGATTTACCCTCTCCCTAACCATCTCCCAGCATCTACTAGCCGATACATGACCAAACACTTCACTTGGATTGTGCTCCACATATACCTAAAATACGCAAATATATCATCACAAATTCAATACTAGCCACAGTAATGAAACTTAAAGTAGCCATTCTTTATTTCATATTACATTCTAAAGCTAACTGTTCGCAAAAAAACGAGAAAAAAAAATAAGATAAAAAAAATTATACATAATACGAGAAACACATTTTTTTTGTTGATGCTGCGAAGGACTCGGAAAATTCGACATTTAAATATAGCTAAATATAAGTTACCATAAATAAAGGTCCATCTCGCCCGACATCCAGAATTTCGTTAACGTAATAGCACGTATTAGTTGGATCATCTACATCTATGTAATTGACTCTGCTCCGAAATCCTGCATTCAACCAAATAAAACGCTCTAATTTGCACGCATTCCAATAAAAAAAACCGCACCAAAGCTACATTCACTACGCATCAATACATACCCTTTGGATATATAGCTCGATTATCGCACCACAACTTTCCCTCACACACAGCTCCAAACTCCAAAGGCTCGACATTGCACTTCATTCTCCTCACTACTTTAGCAATACGTGGTCCTTTCGCTCGATAATATCTATCTAAAATATCGTTCTTGGATTCCGATTTTTTACGACCATCTTCACTTTTCGATTTTTCATCGTCGATTTGATGCCTTTTCGAGCTACACTCTGCATTTTGAGTCTCGTTATTGATCGGAACATCTTCATTAGAATCATTCATAGAATTATTCCGTTTTGCAGCAAAGGGTTCTTTAACGGATTCATCTTCTTCGTCGTCATCGCTCAGGACTATGACATCTTTGTTTTCCGAAACTGAACTTTCCAAAGCCGATGTTTCTTGGCTCGATGGTATTTTACATCTGCCAGCTGGCGGTAAAGGTTTCTCCTTTTTGAACGGAGAACGAGTCTTCGACGGCGTTCTCACAGCTTCAAGAGCCAATACCACCATAAGTGGCTCCGCACTCTGAGAAGCGCGAGAACTGTCGATGTGTTTTGATTCTTTTAAAGTGCTTCCGTAAGATTGCGTTTTCTTCGCTTCGGAACGAACTGCGTTCGATGAAGAATCGACTTCTTTCTCAGTTTGCAAGTCGTCTTTCGAAACCGGAGTAGTTAGAGAAAACCCCATATCGAGCCTCGCCCATCGATACACTGCACTTAGTTTCCCCTCCAAAGCATCGACCAACATGCTTAACTCGCTGATGTCATAACGGAAAAGGAAATACTTGGAGCCCCACAAACACGTACACAGCTGTTTCGCATGATTCAGACACGCGTATTTATTCGGCGAACAGTTGCGGCAACCTGCAGCAGATAGATGAAGATCGAAAAGGCACACACTGCATTCCCTCTCACTATCAGCATCGAAAGAGCTCTCCATTTTTATCGCCTTTGACGATTTGCAAATGAATTCCCTCCTCACCCGCTCAACTTCAACACGATTCTGTCCACAATATAAACATAGTTGAGTTAATTATATAAAATTAATTCAAAACACGAAAAAAAATAATAGATATGTTTACCTTTAGTGTTTTTGATAAGACCCCGTCTTTTCCACAAACTTCGTTCCATGTCGAGTTACTTGGAGTGCACTTTTTCATAAAATTGTACTCCCAGTTTGCTTTGACGGCTTCTCTTGCAGCACCGAGCAATAGTTTATCATGTGAAATGGAAGTTTGTCTGCCTTGTTCGCGGTAAAGCTCGACAGCATTCTGCCCATGCGGCAACCAGTCAACCGGGGCAACATTGACCGCCTCGGCACAGTTAAAACCGCAGTTGAATCCAGCATGATATGCTCTGGGGAATGTTAGGACAAATTCTCCTGGATTCTGAACACATCGGTAAACGGGCACTCCTTCCGATTTTAGGATTGACGGCGAAAGTTGAGTGACCTGCACATGCACAACAAGTTTATTCATCAAAAGAATAAAAAAAAAAAAAAAAGTAAAGGCTTGTACAAACAGCAAAAAAAGAAGAAGATCGAGTAAGTATTTCAGCGTGTTATTTATTTACTGAGAATTTTCTTACCAGCTTATGAAGTAAGTCGGGCTGTTCTTCGAAGAGATCGGGGAGATGTTTCCTCATAGCTGCCTCTAGGTTAAGTGCATCTGATCCGGGAACACCGTACCACAGTTTTGGAGATCCCCAATGCATGTAATTCAACGAGTACAAGTGATGATCCTCTACATGCTGTTACGAAATAAAATAAACATAAATGAATACGGACAAATTTCAAGCACCAACAGCAAGAGGAAAATCGGGAAACGTTTGCCTAAAAAGAAACTTTATTTTTGTCGAAATATATATATATATATATATATATATTATGCAAACGAAGAGAATTATTTCCTTACCCAACAAAATGATGAAAAGCACATTCCGATATACAGCCAAGGAACGAGAACACCCGATATATCACAGCTTTCAAATGAAAGAACCGAACCAGGAAGTCTTGGTAAGTTATTCAAGTTCCATCCCGAGGCAATGTACTTCATCTCGGAAGCATCTTCGTCTCGTTTTTTGGGAAATCCACTGCCAAAAGCTCCCGTTTCCAAATCAGCCCCGTAAAGCACCTTTAATGAAACAAACAATCTTTAAAAACTATAGACAAAGAGATTAAAGCATCCAATCGCAAAATCATTTAAAAAAACAGAAACACTTATTACCTCAATTTCTTCCGTCGGTTGTTCCACCATTCGCCAATATTCTCCCTCGATTTCCTCTACTGAAGGCTCTACCATACTTTTGTTACTGCTGTAATTTTTCCTGAAGTATTGGACCTTGAAATCATCGTCGTACTTCTGAAATGCATCGAGGCTAAAATCTGGACCAGATTCGAAGCCGAATTCCTCAGCCTCGCTCGGTTCTTGATCGGTTTCTTTGTTCAGGCATATCCTCTTTTTCCTCCTCTTGCGGCCGTTGTCTTGTAATACCTTTCTTCTCATTGACTCTCGATTCTGAAGTTTGTCGATCCGTTGCACACGGGTGCTGAATTTACAACTCTGCCATTTATTTCTTTCCTTGAGAAGACAAGGAGGATTCCATGAAAGAGGTGGCACTATACGGCAGATTCCGTATTTCTCTGCTTTAGAGCGTATACTTGAAATGTATTTTAGTGTATCTTGAAACTCCTAATAGTAAAAAGTATTAATTAGAATAATGTTAACGTAGTAATTTAAAAAAAAAATTGAAAATTTGAAAAATCGAAAATAAGGACCTCTTCAGAAGGATAAAACACAGGAGCATCTTCAAGATCGGGTCTCCGAGCTTCGTCGGGACGCCATTTTGCAGTAACCTGTTCCAGAAAATTCACATAAACACTTTGTTTCTGTAACTCTCGATAAACGAGACGAATATAATAGTTTTAAGAGACTGACCTTTTGGCAGTTGTCACATGATTCACACCCACGAATCACACCTTTCGGGAGCCAGTTCGATCCAAACTGCTCAGACTTCACGTCATCGTCGAAACTGCTTTCCCGCGGTCTATGCCTAAGAGACTTGGCGGTTTTCGAGTCGTTATTACAGTCGTACTCTGTTTCCAGACAGGATTTTTGTGTTTGAGAAGCACTACCGGAACTTGAGTATTTATTTAATTGATTACCATCCGGCCTTTTTCGAGTGAAAGGCACACGCGAATCGAAACCGAGAGGAATTGACGGGATTTTTATGTTATCTTCTTTGACGAAAGGACCGACAAATTCTGTGCCCATTACCACCACTGCAAAGAGAAAGCAAACCCGTATAGTTTGACGGATCAGTTTGAATATATATGTTTATTTACATACATGTGAGTTTATGTTCATTCATTTACGATTAAACAGAAACACGGAACGTTGAGAACTTACATCTAAGATTAAAAGCAGTTAGAATTGAGATACGTTAAGCGATTTATTTACCACAACTCGGATGCTCCGATTCGATACCACACAGACTATTTATTTTTCATACTCGATTTTTCCAGAAATTCTAGACCAGAAACGAAAGGCGCAATAACAAGGAATAAACTTTTAAGAACGAAAAAAAATAGTCGATTCGATTAGGATGAATTTTTCGTCCACTGATCAAAGCACGGAGCAAACAAGAAAAAGATGAAAGAAAAATCACAACGAAGAAACAAACAAAAAAACGAAGAGTAAACTTACATATTCGATTCAACGATTCAAACCCCGTTTGCGCTGTAGATGCTCAGACTGCAAAAAGAAAAATACCTACACCAATTTTCCAGAAATTAATTAATTAAAAAGTAAACAGTCGAAAGAAGAAACTCATAAACAGTCTGATTCTGCAGATCTTATCCCCAAACCCTAATTTGGATAACACAAAACCCCTAAATTAAAAAATCCCAATTTAGGAAAAGAAAAAAAAAAACCTTAAAATATATTATGAATGGACCCCCTGATAAAATCAAAATCAACCACTGTTAAACCTAGCCTACATTCCACAGCACCAATTGCTACAACAGAAAATTCTAGGAGCTTCGAATTTTATTTATTTATTTAAAAAACCAATTAAAATTAAAGATTAACAAATAAATAAAAAAAGAATCCCTAGAAAACAAGCAAACCTAGAAAGTAGAAACCATGGGCAGCCCATCAGTTTTTTCGCAGTACAAATCCCAGCAATTGCATACCACCATATATATATATATATATATATATATTAAAAAAAGAAAAAGAAAAAAAAATACCTTTTTTTCCTAATTACCATTATTCTTAATTCAAATCCTGGCTCCATAGTGCAGTTTTTTGGTGTATTGGTCCAAAAGTTTAATTTAAAAATAAATTAAATTATGTAACATTGAAATATGATGATGGTATATTCCACATTTATTAACATAAATATACATTGGGGATTATGTATTGTAGATGGTTGTGATTTTACTACATGATAAAAAAAATAAAATATAAAGAATATCTGATCAAAAATTTTGCTATTGAGAACAAAACTTTGATTGAATCGTCCAAAACTCACCAGGTGGCGCGTAGTTAGTATACTGCTATCGGGAGTCGCGTGGGTTTGACGCGCCAGAAGTTTGTTTCTAACTTATGGTGTGATTACTTGGGAGTTTTCTGCAGTTTTTAAAAGGGTTTCAACTTTTTGAATCCAATCTGAGAAATACTCTATTTTAGTGTAGAACCTAAATTGTTGTTAGTTTCGAATTTCGATACCTTTAAATCTTACTTCGCAACAAACTCTTGTTAGGAATTAAGATTCTTCTTTAACAAGTAGGTATTTAAAGGGGATCACTATTTCAAATACTAATTTTTGCTTACTTGAATACCAAAAAAATAAAAAATAAATAATTAATTGTAAATTACTTTAATACCCTTAATGAAAATTAAAACCAAAAAATATTACAAATACTATTTTTCTTTCTTAAAAACCAAATAATCAAAAACCTAAAAAAAACATTTCCCTCCTCACTCACAAACCCCTCACCTCCTCCACCTCCTTCTTCTCCCTCCCCAAAAACCCTCCTAAAAAACCCCAAAACAAAAGAAATCAAAACCTTACACAACTTGCAAAATGGCCTCAAATGACAATAGAATGGTAGTTTACGAGCAAGGAGAACACATTCAGGTATGTATTCATGTATTTTTTGAGCTAAAACATCGATTTTGAATTTTTTTTTTTTTTTTAAACTCGCCATGTATTTTCGACACATACAGGTCGAAAATACCCTTATTTTTCGACATGTATGTGTCGAAAATACCCTTAACTTTGGACACTTAAGTGTCGAAAGTGAAGGGTATTTTCGACAATTAGGCGTCTATTTTCTACATAAATTTTCGACACTAAGGTGTCGAAAATACCCTTAACTTTCGACACTTAGGCGTCGAAAGTGAAGGGTATTTTCGACACTTAAGTGTCGAAAATATGGGTAATTTTCGACACTTAAGTGTCGATTTGGTTCCTGTTGCAAATTTACTTGTCTTATATTTTCGACACTTTTGTGTAGATCGATTGCACCCATTCATTTACCACATCAGAAAAATTCCCAACAAAAGAAGCTTTAATGGCATGGGTTCGTGAAGTATGTAAAAGAATTGGAATGGTGTTAATGATTGGGGGTTCGAGTGACGGGGATAGAGGACGTAGGACACCGTATGTGATTGTTCGTTGTGAGCGTGGGGGCCATTATGTTGGCAAGAAGGTACCAGGTGAAGATGATCAAAGACCGGGAAAAAGGAGCACCGGTTCAAAGAAATGCAATTGTCCGTTTAAATTGAAGGGGACAAGAGAACACAAGGATGATGAAAAGGCTGAGTGGAAATTGGATGTTAGTTGTGGTATTCACAACCACAACTTATTCGAAAACTTGCACGGACACTCTTATGCCGGAAGATTATCAAAGGATGATGTTTCCTTTGTTCACACTATGAAGAAAGCAATGGTGAAACCAAGGGCAATTCTAAGAGCATTGAAGCAAAAGGACCCGTCTAATGTAACTGGTATGAAGACAGTTTACAATACTATCTCTAAGTTAAATTTCAGTGAATTGGATGGGAGATCTCAATTGCAATCATTGTTCGTCAAGTTGAAAGAAGATGAATACCTCTCGTACCATAGATCGAACGAGTTGAATGCGATTACCGACTTGTTTTGGATCCACCCGAAATGCATTAAGTTGGCACAGTCGTATCCGTACGTATTCGTCATCGATTGCACGTACAAGACCAATCGTTACGGACTCCCATTTCTTGAGATTGTGGGTTTTACTTGTACCAACAAGACGTTCTCAATTGCCTTTGCATACTTGGACCACGAAAAGACGGAAAATTTTGAATGGGCGTTGCGTTGTTTGAAGGAGGCCATGACCAGTTGTCCTCGGCCTAATTGCATTGTAACAGATCGAGATTTGGGTTTAATGAAAGCAGTGGCCAATGTGTATCCATCGAGTCATCACTTGTTGTGTCGGTGGCATGTGAACAAGAATATAGTGGCCAATTGTAAGAAATTGTTCCCAAAGGACATCACCAAATGGAAGCAATTTCAGTCGAGTTTTTCGGCTCTTATTGAAAGAAATACCATAGAGGAGTTCAATGAGGATTGGGAGGATTTGAAAAGAACATTTATCGGTTATCTCCCGGCTATAGAATATGTAGCTAATTCATGGTTGGATCCGTACAAGGAGAGACTTGTATCGGTGTGGACAAATAAGTATACTCATTTTGGAACGTACACTTCTAATAGGGTGGAGGGGGCACACGGACGAATGAAAAGGGATGTGCGTAATTCAACTGGCACATTTGTGGATTTGTATACGAAAGTCCACAATCAAATTGTCGAACAACACAATGACATCAAGGCTTCCTTTGAAGTAAGTAAAAATACTTACGAGCACACTTTCAAAACGTTGATATACAATGATCTTCGTGGAAGTATCTCAAAATACGCTCTGCAACTACTCAAAGTTGAGGTGGACAATGCGAAACTATTGCAACCGAGCGATATGGGTTGTAGTTGCGCCATCCGAACAACCCACAGTCTACCATGTCGCCATGAACTTCATGAGTATGTTGTTGTGAACAAATGTCCTATCCCACTTGAGTTAATAGGCTCGTATTGGAAACACATGAGTATGGAGCCCGTCGCGACCACAGACCAAGTCATCCTACCAACCATCGACGAAGAATTATCGGAATACCAGAAGCTCTTTGAATGTGCCGATCTCGATGCAAAAACTCGATTGCGCAACCATTTGAGACATTTTACCCACCCAGAGAAGACTAACCTTACGGAGCAAACCATAAAACCTAGTAAAATAAATAAAAAATTAGATTTAGAAACCTAGTTAAGTAGTAATAACAAATTATTAAACTGGTATTTTACCTGATCGGGGATCAAATCATCTAATCGAGATCGCAGGTACGACGCTCGTTCAGGCGTTGAAGTAGTCTTTGACTGAGGCTCCCATCGGCTCGCTAATGGCCCCTCGAATTCCGTCTTCAATGTGCCACCCGCCAAATAAGGAAAGTGCTCGTAAATCCATGACTGAAAGAGCGTCAGCCAGCCAGCCATCGAGTTCGTTGATTTTTGTGAGGCTGAGGAAATCTCATCGTACAACCGGCAAAGACATGCAGTGCCCCAAGCATACTCGCCGATCCGATCCAAATCAGATACAAGATTTAGATACTCCACGCTTACCATGTTGCCTGTCTTGTCGCACAGTATAGTACACCCGAGCAAAAATAACAAATACGCCCGAATGGCATATGTCCTCTTCTCCGCACTATCTCTCATGGTCACTTTGCTAAATTTAGCCTTCAACCATTCCAACTTGACCGCTTTCTTCTTGTTAACATCGTCCGGGTACTCACCTAGCAACTCGAACATCAAACTACTGGGGATCGTTTTGGAATCACGGACCAAACGCTCGCAAGATACGGTACGCCCAACAACTGGCAAACCGACCAACGTACTCACATCGTCAAGTGTGATGGTCATCTCTCCAACAGGTAAGTGAAATGTGTTGGTAGCTGGCTGCCATCTCTCTATGAAGGCTCTAAGTAGATGGCCGTCCACTGTGTTGTACGATGCCTGTACAACTGACATTAAACCACATCTTTGTACTACCTCTGTAATAAACGGCGCCGGCTCCCAACCTTTTAAAGTTCCTGTGTGATTTCGTATTCGAAATTCTGAGCCGCGCTCCGAACGATCTGGCCCTCCGTTCACAATATGATAAGCAATGTGCTTATCAAATTTTGTGTACAATTCCGGTATCTCGGGACCTCGGACCGGTTCGTTGCTCGAATCACCAACTTCTACAGTCGAAGGTAGAGCCGGCACCGGATTCGTTGACGAAGAACCCTCTCCAGACTTCTTCTTGGTCGTGGTCTTTTTCTTGGTCGTGACTGCTATGCCCTTGCCTCTATCGGATAATTCCTTCCTCTTCTTACGGTTCGAGACAGTCGGAGGTATACGAGGTTCACGTGGTTCTTCCACTGCAAAATAACACACAAATAAAAATTAATATACATAATATAAACACAAGCAAATAAAAATAGGGAAAAAAAAAAAAAAAAAAAAAATCTCACAGTTCAAATTCGACAGCAAGCTGTCGAAAATTGGTTGATTTTCGACAGCTTCCTGTCGAAAATTGTTTGATTTTTCGACAAGTAGCTGTCGAAAATTCAACCAATTTTCGACAGGAAGCTGTCAAAAATTTCACCATGTTTCGACAGGAAGCTGTCGAAATACCAAAATTCCAAATTCAACAATTTCACCATTTTCGACATCTACATGTCGATTTGTGATGAATTTTCGACATCAACCTGTCGAAAATTCATCGAAAAATCGACATATACAGGTCGAAAATGGTGAACGAAGAACAGACCCACGAATCTCAAATCAATGCTCAAATCGACTGAAATCAGATGCACCCATTACTAATTAACGATCATTCTAACCTAAAACAACCAAATCCTAATTACCCATATCAAACAATCAAATCTTAAATAAATATTAAAGAAAAAAAATCGAAACAACTATAACTTACTATTCGAAGACGACGACGGCGGCGGCTTTGGGCGACGTTGGGCGGCGTTCTTCGGTGTTTGGCGTCGGCGTCCGGCGGCGGCGATGGTTGGAGCGGCGGCGGCGGCGTCGGGCGGCGTGGGAGGGGTGGACGGAGGGAGGGGTGGACGGAGGGAGGTTTTTTTGTGTTTGAATTTTTTTTTTTCTTTTTTTTTTATTTGGTTTTCAAATAGGTAATTTCAAAGAAAAATTGATGTAATTAGTATTTTGTATGAAAGGGTATTTTTGTACTTTTATTTTTATTTTGGTATTAAAGTAAGAAAAAACTTATAAATATGTACTCAAATGTGGTTTTCAACTTGGTAGTATTCAACTAAGCAAAAATTAGTATTCAAAATAGTTGCCCCCATTTAATGGTGCACATTTTATTGGAGGTGGTTTTTTATTTTCTTTTCGAGCAAAATTACGAAAAAATCTCTTTTATTATTACAATAACTAATCAACTCATTCATTCCTCTTTTTTTTTTTTTACGGGAAAATATAATTATATTAGGCACCCATGACCAGCAACGGGGGAGGGTCACACCCTCCAAAGAATTCAAATTCTCACGCAAAGCAATATCGTGAAATAGTTTA